TGTGTAAAATTTTTTTGATCGGGTCACGCATTCGGACACAATAGCCCGAAATCATTGGGCAAATAACTTAACAGTTCCCAGTTAAATCGTTATTTGGTTTTCTTCAATTAACAATTGCACCAAGCTGACGTCACGCACACAGCTGATTCTTTCAAATTCACAAAGAGCGGATTAGAGGTACCGCGATGGGCGCAATCTCTATTTCTCTCAATCGTGTCAAAAACCGATAATTGAAATGCTTTACATAGCAATATATTTTAATGCAACCTTTAAATATAAAGTGAGCTTTAAATTAAAGGTTACTTGTGTAAACGGCCATTAGTATATTAAGTAAAATAATATATTTCAACCATTTTTGATATTTAATTTAACGATATTTTTTATCATCTTACACAAAGTTACGATCATTGTCACACGGCAACACTCGATTTGACAGCACTTTCAGAAGAAATAAAAGTTGCTAATAGGGAATTTACATGAGGCGATTTTTCAGGCAAATTTTAGTTGAAAGCAACAATTGCCTGGTGTAAACGTCCTTTCAACTAATCGCTTTCAATGAAGGTGGTCGGCTTCCGACTTTCCTTCAACTTTTGATTCAACTAATCGCCCGTGAAAGTGAATTCATGTAAATTCCCCATAAGCACGATTTTCAGCACATGCCGGATGTTGGAAAAACGCATGAAGTAATGTGTATGTAGATCAGTGGCAGCCAATCACATTTTGAGCATGTGTTGAAAGCACAAAAGCTTATCGATACACCCAAAACAACCTGCATACGTAACACAAAGTTTTGTTTTTGCTAAGTAGAAGGTTAGTTAAGTTTAAAGCATCGTTCCGTTAACATGTATTTAAGTAAAACAAAATGCACATACATTCATTGTTGTGGTTGTTTTAGCGGCTACAACAACCCCGCCCAGATCGGTTAATATCTCAGTCGCTATCGCCAAGTTCCACTAACGGCAGCCCTAAGAAGCGTGCAGCCTCAATAGGGTTCGTCCACAGGGACAAAGGCGTTAGGGTTGTCGGATTTTCCGGGCATATGAAGAGGTGTTTCGAGTCATGAGGTGTCTCTCCGCATGCCGGACACTCATTTGGTACATCTGCGTTTAGTCTGCTCAGGTATGAGTTTAACCTGCTGCAGTAGCCAGAGCGAAGATGGGCTATTGTGGTTCTAGTCTGCCGAGGCAGATGAAGCTCCGACTCGTCAATGTCCGGTGGTTGCGCGCCTAGAACGGCATTCACAGGTCTGGAGTCTACATAACTCGAGACTGACTCCCTGTGAATGCCGTTCAGGGCCTGTCGATAAGCTGACGGGTCCAGAGGTTGTTTAATGAACCTCTGGACTTCGTCCGTCAGTTCGTAGAGATGCCTCGTGACGTGCCTGGGCGAGGGCTCTTCTGCAAGCAGTTGCCTATTTGGGTGACCACATCTATGAGCCCCAACAAGAAACTCCTTGCAGAGCATTGTGTTGTGCTCCTTTATCGGGAGCAATTTCGCCTCGTCGTGCAGGTGGTGTTCTGGCGGCATCAGAAGGAATCCCGTCGCTGTCCGTAGGGCGGTGTTTTGCGCCGTCTGCAGCTTCATCCACTGCGTCCTACTAGCCCCCGGCGACCACACTGGTGCTGCGTAATTTAAAACCGGCCGACCTATTGCCTTGTATGTTGCCAGCAACGTTTCTTTGGCTTTGCGCCATGTACTGCCGGCTAGCGACTTGAGGACCTTGTTGCGGCTCTGTACTTTGTGGACAATAGCGGTTGCGTACGCAGAGGAGGAGAGCAGACTGTCGAAGGTTACTCCGAGTATTTTGGGGTTATTCACCGTCGGAATTGGTGGATCATCGACGTGAATTGCCAGCGGTAGCCTGACCTCCTTCGTCCAGGTGGTGAACAAGGTCGCAGAGGATTTTCTAGAGGAGACGGCTAGGGTCCTTGCAGTGAAGAAGCGAGAAAGCGCGGAGAGATACCCGTTTACTTTCGAACACAAGTCATCAATGCCATTCCCAGTCGCCATGATCGATCAATCGTCGGCGTAAGAGACAATCGAGACTCCCTCTGGTGGTTGAGGGAGCTTTGAAATGTAAAAGTTAAACAGTAGCGGGGAAAGGCCACCCGGAACCCCCTGTTTTATTTTCCTGAGTTTGCTCGATTTGTCTCTAAACATTACTGACGAGTATCGACCACTCAGATAATTCGCCGACCACCGTTTGAGCCTCTGTGGGAGAGAGGAAGCCTCTATATATTCTAGTAGCGTGGAGTGGCTGGCGGTGTCAAACGCCTTTGACAGGTCCAGCGCTACTAAAATAGTTTTCTCACAGGGACGGTTGCGGTTAAGGCCACGTGTTATCTGAGTGTTGTACTGTGCACTTTACGGGAACCATGCTGATGCTTCGCTGGGGTCAGGTGGTACGTGTAATACGGGAGCAGCAAGGCCTCTAGTGTCTTCGCTACCGGGGAAAGGAGATTTCGACCCTGTCTTCGTGCTTCGTCGGATTGGACAATGACCTCACGGTTGACCAAAGCTTACTCACACCAGAGGTGAAGTTACAAGTCTTCAGATGCTCTTCCCACCTTTTTCCGCTTATGTACGTTGACAAGCTGCCGAATCTCCGCGTTGAGATCCCTAATACGGGGATTTCCGGTATCGGCCTGACTAAGGTTGTCACGCTCATCGGCTAGAACAGCTGTTTCAGCAGGAAAGTATGGACGGGGGTCCGTGATGCATCCTGCCGGTACGAAGCGAGCTGCAGCATCAGTGATAACCCTGCGGAACTTACGTTCACCAAGGTGGACGTCGGTTGGTGTGGGGAGCGCAGCGAAGGTGCTCTGAGTAAATTCCGCGAAGCCTTTCCAATCAGCTTTAGAAAAGTTTATATAGGTCCGCGGAAGCAAAGTCGCTTGGTTTATCGATCGAGATGACTATGGGCAGATGGTCTGATGCCAAAGCCAGCATAGGTCGCCATGATACCCTGTTTATCAGACCAGCGATGACTATTGTTATGTCTGGAAAACTGCAGCAGCAGCCCATAATCCTGGTGGGTGAGTCGTCATTCATTGTGCAGTATGTCGAATCGTCTATCTGCTCAGCCACGTCTGTTCCCCTACGATCGTTTGACAGGCTTGAATGTCGCATTAAAGTAACCTACTACCATACGGTTTTCACCTCTGAGGAGCGCACCTATATCAGGGTGATATCCTGCCGGGCAGCAAGTGACAGGGGGTATGTACACGTTAAATATTTCGAGCTCAACATCGCCTGACCGGATAGCAATGCCCTGACGTTCTAGGGTGGTATCCCTGCGGTGTGGTGCGTGATGAACGCTAAGCCACCACCATTATCCATGTATCCAGCACAATTCAACAACCTTGGACTGCTGTGCAACTGCGGCTCTTGGACCGTAGCTATCAATACACCATGCCTTCCCATGAAGACGGTTATCTCCTCGATCTTGCTCTGAGGTCCGGTATAGTTAAATTGAAGAAGCTTCAAGTGGTTCGGGAGACGTGTTGTTATGCGGGGTGTGAGGGACGTGTGTGATCTTGCCGCCATTGGCTGTGTGCGCTGCTGTGGAGGTTGCCGCCCTGTGGTGGTAGTGGGTGGAGTCGCAATTGGGGTTTGTAACCGAGCGGCGCAACACGGGCACTCGAAGTTCCTCGTCCAATCTCGCGTGGGGCACAGACCTGAACATGCCCTAAAGTGGCACCAGCCAAGGCAGGTGTTGCACTTGACTGATGTCACGTTACGGAATATCCTGATCTGACATATTGTGCAGATTGTAGGTGGAACCAGGATTTGTTGGCGGCGGCGTGTGGGTGGTGGTGCGGTTGTGTCTGTTGTGTGGTCTGTCGTGGTTGTGGTGTGGTGTATTGTGTCGTTGTGTTGTGGTGTTTGTGGTGAGCTGCTCAGGTGGACTGGGGTTAGCTGTGAAGTCTGCTCTGTTTGAGCAGCAGGGGGCCACAAATGATGTGGTCCACTGCCGATGTGTCCGTAGGCCTGAGCAGACTCTGAGGTGACTCCACCCTTCGCAAGCATTGCACTTGACTGAGCTGGAGTTGTAGTGTAGTCGTCTCTGGCATACACAGCAGGTGTAGGTTTCTAGCCCTGGGTTTGACTCGATGCCAGCCCTGAGCAGAAGAATGCGTAGCAAATGTAGCCCTATGGACGAACAACTTCTAAGATACTTCGCCGCCCTAAACGGGGTTAGATCGCCGAAACAAAAGCCCTTAGTCGGGTAAAACCCGAGTCATTCCGGTACGTAGAGCCGGCTGTCGTAGGAATGCAAGAGGAATGGTCGCACAGTTTGCTTTGCTTAACCTAAACAAAAAACAACCCCTACACGCATACATCATACGCCTTTGTTGCTCATGCTTGTACATATGGTTGCTAATTGCGGTGGTAGCTGCTGCTGCTGCTGTTGAGAAGGTGGTAACATTGGTGTTGGTCCCTCTGGATAGATACATACAGTTACTCCCAAAAAAAAATTCAGAAAACTTTTTATATGGAAACAAACGCGTAAGACAGGCAGCAAAAAAAAAATCTCTAAAATCAACGCGATTTTTTCGACATTTGAAGTTTGCACATTATTATACTAAAATTTAATGGGCTATAAAACTGCATACCCGAATTCTTTCTAGAATTAAAAAAATAATAATTTAAATAAAAGTTCTTCACTTACAATTGATTTGCAACCTGCTTAAGATTTCATATGTCAATAAAGTTCTGATGGTGAACGATCACCTAGTTCGGTATTTGAAAATAATTGTTATAACCTCTTCTCTTCGCTAGGAGAAAATATTTCACATACAACTTTTTTAATTCTTTCATATATGTTAATCAAAGGAGACGGATTGATAACATCAATAATTTTAGACATTGACTCTTTGAAGAACAACTAAAACGTTTTTAAAATTTGATATTATCATATATATTGTTAATTTCGAATTGTCCTTCCACAAGGAGAAACCATGCTTCAGGACCATCTTCCCAAAAATGAGGCAACTTACTTAATACATTTTGATAAATTTGCACTCAATTTATTTTCATTTGGAAAAGCATTAGGTTATATACTTTGTGAAGTGTTGAAGTCTGAAGTGTGTATTGGGTTTTCATATTGATTTTCCGTTGTTGTTGTGAAGTTGCGTGTACGTATTGGTGATTTTTGCATTTTGAAATAAACTGGAGAAGTGTACAAAATAAATATAATAATACTTTTAATTAACACAAATAATATTTATGTATATATTTATAAACAAAAAAATTATTTAAAGTTTAATTAAATGTTAATAAAAATTTATTAAATTAATATACAATTATTTATATCAGTTAATATTAATTATTCTAAATTTCTTTTAAAAAATTTGGTTTTAAAATTTAATTATATTGAAAATGGTAGATTGATAAATCTCCAATTAGTTATAAATTAATTTGTTAATAAATTTTAAATTAATCGTGTTCTTTTTGTTAATAATTTTGCTTTTAAAACAAATAAACAAAGTCGAAGAGTAACTTATAAAATATTCATAAAAGCTGAATGAATAAACTAAAGGGCTTCAGATACGAACTTAACAAAAAAATTAAAAACAACTACTAATTTTATTCTTTCGTTACCTGTGGCAGCAAAACTGAAAATAACTTCTGTCACTGTTGCTGCGTCAGTTGTTGTTGTTGTAATAGCTGTAGGCCTGATTTTACTTTCTGGTATCTAAATGATGACGCAACGCATGATCTTGGGACTGCAATTAATCGGTTCATGGAATTGATTGTTGAACACAATACTTCTCGACGACAGAGTGACTGACAACTAGATATGACTATATTGCATCAAATCAATGATACCCCGAAGCAAAAGTGAACTGAAATCCGTTAGCTGCCTTTGTTGCTCATGTTTGCACATATGGTTGCTAATTGCGGTGGTAGCTGCTGCTGCTGCTGTTAAGAAGGTGGTAACATTGGTGTTGGTGTTTTTTATATGGAAACAAACGCGTAAGACAGTCAGCAAAAACAATTCTCAAAAATCAACGCGATTTTTTAGACATTTGAAGTTTGCACATTATTGTACTAAAATTTAATGGGCTATAAAACTGCATAGCCGAATTCTTTCGAGAAATTCGTATTAAAGAGTTCGCGATTTTGCTGAAACTATGCAGATTTTTCTTAATTTTCGTACACTGTTTCATTCCTTGATTTAAATGGGTTTTGCTAAAATATAAGCCATATTTTAATATAAAATTAACAAAAAGATTTTAGCATGCAAAACATTGCAAATATAATATAATAATATAATCGCTAAAGATATGACCGGTTGCAACAGCATAAGGCGTTGATGTGGGTTATAGCGGCGAAACGCCAGGTAAGGTAATTGAACTGTATGTTTTTACACTTGTTTAAATTCTTGGAGTTAAATTTATTGTTCTATGAATATGTTTGTTATTGAAAAATAAGGTTTTTGTGTATTAATAAATAAACTTTCAACACGATCAAACAATAAAGAAAATAAAATTTTAAATAAAATATCTTATTCCGATATATTAGCGATCCTGCCAGGAGTCATAGATAAAGGTCACAGCGTCAACAAAAGCAACAGCAGTTTCGCAACTATCAAGAGAATTTCCGTGCTACGTACATTTATAGCTACTTCTTTACCGAAACGCTCGCTTAGGATGTTGCCGGCTGTTTCGGTAAAGAAGTAGAATATACACTACCGGAACAAAGTATTGGCACAGCAAATTTTTCACAATATATGCAACAATTTTCATTCTAATATTTTTCCGCTAATTTTGTATAAAAATATAGTTCATTCTACAACAAAAAAACATAAAAGTATAATTCCTAAACTTTGTGTAAAACTCGCGAAAATTCAGCAAATTTTCATGAACATTTTCAACTTTTTAATCGGATTTTTTAGAATTTTTTTGAGTGCAGATTTGTAGCCCAATCAATTTTATTATAATAAAGAGAAAGTTTTAAGTAGCTAGGAATTACGGTTGATTTTTGGAAATTTTTTTTCACGCAGTATCTTCCATACAAAAAATTTGTTTCGAAAATACTTTATATGGGTGTTTCCTGCGTTACGGACCTTCCGTTTGGAGACACTTTTTTCATTATAAAAACTATAGTAGGCTCTGAATGAACAAAAATTTTGTTTGAAATGTTTAGGGTTGATGCATAAACATACATAAAAAATAAATATGAAATTTGAGCTTGATTAATAGTTTAATAGTTTTCCAAATATCTCGAGAACGGGGCGAGGAAAAAAAATTTGAAAAAAATCACACATTCACACATAAAATTCTCTTTGAAAAGAAGTATTTAAAAAATTGGAAAAATATTTCATACATTTGATAAAAAAATAGTTTTTGAAAATATGCCATCTCAAAAAAATTTAAAAAAACAATGGTAGCTCTGAGTATTGCGCAATATTTAAGTATGTTTAGTATTATGGGGTGCACTCTACAATAATTTGAGTTATGAATTTATTTTACACCGAAGTTGAGTAAAATGAGTACATTACAAATTTAAAAATTGTTTACATTTTTTTTAGAATTTTTTGAGCATGCAGTTTTGCAGCCCATTAAATTTTAGTATAATAAAGTGCAAGTTTTAAGCAATTGCAAAACCGGCGTTATTTTTTTTTTTAATTTTCTTTGAAAACGGTTTTGCGCATTTTCTTCCATAAAAAAGTGCTAAAAGCCGTCAGCATAAAAATATTACAAATCAACGCAATTTTGCAGTAGCTTAAAACTTGCACTTTATTATACTAATTTAATGGGCTACAAAAATGAATACTCAAAATTCAAAAAAAAAATTAAAAAAATTTGTAAATTGTTCTGTACTCATTTTACTCAACTTCAGTGTAAATAAAATTCATAACTTAAATTATTGTAGAGTGCACCCCATAATACTATACTTAAATATTGAGCAATACTCAGAGCTACCATTGTGATTTTATTTTAATTTATTTTGAGATGCCATATTTTCAAAAACTAATTTTTTTTTATAAAAAAATGTGTAAGTGAAAAATTTTTCAGGAATTTTTTTTTTTAATATTTATTTTCGTAGGGAATTTTGATGTGTATGTGTGATTTTTTTTAATTTTTTCCTCGCCCCGTTTTCGAGATATTTGGAAAATTAATCAATCGATTTGTTTTTGTTTTTGTGCTGTAAAGTTTTTAAAAATGTATTAATCAAGCTCAAATTTCATATTTATTTATTATTTATGTTTATGCATCAACCCTAAAAATTTTAAACAAATCAAACACATGAAGTGTGAACCCCGTCCGTTTTAGTATGGAACACCGAACACCCCATATATATGCAGATATGTTGAGGTACGCGTTTTCAAACTGGCTGCCGAGATAGGTCGATCTTCCACAAAGGAGTCGATATGTAAATGTATTCGTCAATTGAACTAAATGAACTAAAGAACTAGTTCACTAAGGTGAACGAACGATAACTGAACGGTTCAATCAAAAGAACTAAGGACTCGGGAGCCTATTGGCGTTGTTGCTGCCGCCTTCCTGACAAGCGTGTTTGCCTCCTCATTACCTTTTATGCACTTATGACCTGGCACTAAGAGGAGAAAAACCTTAATGATAGCCGCTAAGGCGTTCAGCCTCTCGACGCATTCAAGAACAATTGCGGATGATTTCTTTGGCTGTGTGAGTGGGACCGGACTGTCGCTTATATTTTTAATATTTTTCATCACGATATGGTAGGAAGATGGTAAAAGTGCACTTTAGCGGAAGCAGGCCAAAATTGATTAAAAAATTCCAGAGGGGTATCAATCGACACATTTTAACCCCAATAATAATAAACCGAGAGCGGAAATTAACTTTTTTAATTAATTAAAGAGTTATTTGCAAAAAAACACTGGCATTTTTCGCACTTTGTTTTGGTGAAATGAAAACAAATTAACACTTATTAATTACTTATTGCACATTTGTGATGTATAAAATGAACATTTTCTCGAAATTGTATATTTAATTGCAATATTCCGGTGTAGAAAATCTGCACAACTATTTTGTTTAATTAATTAAAAAACGATAAATAACCCTATCGAATTTTTTCATCAATTTTGACTTGGTTCCGTTAAAGTGCACTAATACCGCTCAGATGCCTTCGGGTGTTTTTGAGTTGTCTGTCTACCAAATAAGGGGGCGCATATAGGAGTATTTATTTGTTTTTACATCATTCCAACTTGTCTTAACCAACTTGAATTAACTAATATTCTACTTTGAATTTTCTATCGAAACTAATGATTTTTAGACATCATCTCGTGGGAATTGGGTCAGGTTTAGTTGGGCCCTGAGTGATTCCATACTTGAAGATGATACCACTTTTTCTCTTCCAAAACCCTCTCTGGCGAAATTCATTAGAGATCATTTGGCTGCCTGTTCTATGCTAATGTGCAGTGGCGCGAGCTTGATAATAACCTCCAATGCTGCTGTTGGACAGGTACACATTGCGCGGGTGATGCACATAAAAATTATTTACTCATAAAAAATGATTACCGTCCCTGTTTTAAAGTAATTACATCCAAAGTTTTTGCAGCTTTAATGCATGTTTCAATCTTCGACTTGCTCGAAGCTTATGATTCGATTATAGTTTGCAAAGCAACCGCAGTTGACCGATGGACAACGCTATTGTAATGAAATTGTATATTATGGATAACTACAGTTAAGTGTTATACATTTTAAGATGATAGAATTTTGAACCACCAGAAATTGAGACTTAGTGAAAATAAGCAGCAGAAACAGTTGAAAAAAGGTGTTCTTTTTATTCTAACTTCCGTGATAACCACAAAAATGCAGTTGACAATATAGCAACGTAGTTGCTAGCTTTCCATTGCCATCTGTAATACCATTTCAGCCTCTGGCAATGCAACTGAATTTCGGTTGCCATCTGTAATCAACCCATTAGTTTTTCTGAATGAGAAAAGCAACATGGAGGAGCATCATGGTGAAATAAATATAAGGTTATGTCACTTACATAACCTCACTTTTTCTGCATGCCAATTGCGGTCATGCAATTGAGGGTAGTAGAAAAATGGGGAAAAAATTAGGATTATTTTTGCTACAGGAATATGTACCAGGAATAATAAGACAAAATTTGTTTTATTAATTGTAACAAAATGTTTGCAGAAAACATTGCAAGCATATTTCACAATGTGCAGAATGTACCAACACCACTATTGATGATGATGCATGAAAATTAAAAAAATAAATGCTTATAATATGATTATTAAAATGTTTTATTTGAATGATTTTTCGACATAAATTAAAAAAAACATGCAGTCAACCTTTGACTTACGCATTGCGGCTAAATTGCCGCGGCGCGCCCTCGTATAACTTTCAAAGCGCGCCCTCTGAAAGGTTAAAGATACTGGATTGGCTCTAGTTTTCAATCAACTTAGGTGTAAAGGTACCGAAAAACGCGTTTTTGGTCATTTTTGAACCTGTGTAAAACAATAAGTTGATGCAATATATCTGTCTGTGTGGGAGGATATGAAAGCTTAAACACTGCCCTTTAATACTGAAAATCAAAGTATTATGGTCCGAACACTAAGCAATTGGGAAAAGTTTTTTATACAAGCTCGTACGATTTTTTTTTTTTTTTTTACAAAAAAATCTCGTTTTGCCCGTTTTTTATCAATTGTTATAAATGGATAAGAGGCGCTGAAAATTTCTAAATAATAATAATAATATTTTTTAACGTTAGATGTAATAAGTTACGTGAAAAAATTGCGAAAAATGCCGTTTTTCGGTACCTTTAAACCCGCTTTAAATTGCTTGAAAACTAGAGCCAATTAAAAACATTCAATATCATATTCGGATTCTACGGAAAAATCCTAAAAGAATCGGCTATAACATTTGAGTCAACATAAAATTTGTGAACATTCATCAAACCCAAGCAAATCAAAATTTTTTCTTAAAACTCTTCCCTATCGCTTACAGTGTTCGGACCATAACTTTTCGATTTTCAGTATTAAAGGGCAGTGTTTAAGCTTTCATATCCTCCCACACAGACAGATATATTGCATCAATTTATTGTTTTACTGAGGATCAAAAATTACAGAAACGCGTTTTTCGGCACCTTTTAACCTAAGTTGATCGAAAACTAGAGCCAAGCCACTATCTTGAAGGTCAGATTCGGATTCTACGGAAAAAATCTTATAAGAATCCGCTGGAATATCGTAGGCAACAGAATTTTGTTGGACAGTGTAATCTATATTAACAAAAATA